GCTTCTCAGGGCAGAGCCACTATTGAAAAATGAGCTTTTAAAAACATGCCCCCTGTGAGGATCGAACTCACGACCTTCAGATTATGAGACTGACGCGCTACCTACTGCGCTAAGGAGGCCTCTTTGCCAATTTAGTTCCAGGTGACAAAATAGAATTTGCAGTAGATGTGCAGTTTTAGTAAGCAGACATTTTTTGGGCTGCCAATCTGCAGGCTTTGGAACAAAGAAGCAGTTTCTGTAGTGTAGTAGTTATTACGTTTGTCTAACACGCGAAAGGTCCCCTGTTCGAGACCGGGCAGAAACAGTTTTTTTTTTTAATTTAAACGCCAGACAACTTGCTTTGCCTTTTCAAATATTAAAAGTTTTGCTACCAAGTAACTTTTCTGTTAAAATGTGGTACACAACGGCCTCGGACGATGCCTTCCTGTGGTAAAAAACATCAAGGTTTAACCTCATTTCGAGAAGTCCTCGGTTGCGTTTACCATCAATTGATACAAAGGCTTCTCAGGGCAGAGCCACTATTGAAAAATGAGCTTTTAAAAACATGCCCCCTGTGAAATGATCAAACTCACGACCTTCAGATTATGAGACTGATGCGCTACCTACTGCGCTAAGGAGGCCTCTTTGACAATTTAGTTCCAGGTGACAAATTTAGTTCCAGGTGACAATAATTTGCAGTAGATGTGCAGTTTTAGTAAGCAGACATTTTTGGGCTGCCAGTCTGCAGGCTTTGGAACAAAGAAGCAGTTTCTGCAGTGTAGTAGTTATTACGTTTGTCTAACACGCGAAAGGTCCCCTGTTCGAGACCGGGCAGAAACAGTTTTTTTTTTTTTTTTTTTAAACGCCAGACAACTTGCTTTGCCTTTTCAAATATTAAAAGTTTTGCTACCAAGTAACTTTTCTGTTAAAATGTGGTACACAACGGCCTCGGACGATGCCTTCCCGTGGTAAAAACATCAAGGTTCAACCTCATATCGAGAAGTCCTCGGTTGCGTTTACCATCAATTGATACAAAGGCTTCTCAGGGCAGAGCCACTATTGAAAAATGAGCTTTTAAAAACATGCCCCCTGTGAGGATCAAACTCACGACCGTCAGATTATGAGACTGAAATGCGCTACCTACTGCGCTAAGGAGGCCTCTTTGCCAATTTAGTTCCAGTTCCATGACAAAATAGAATTTGCAGTAGATGTGCAGTTTTAGTAAGCAGACATTTTTGGGCTGCCAGTCTGCAGGCTTTGGAACAAAGAACACGCGAAGCAGTTTCTGCAGTGTAGTAGTTATTACGTTTGTCTAACACGCGAAAGGTCCCCTGTTCGAGACCGGGCAGAAACAGTTTTTTTTTTTATTTAAACGCCAGACAACTTGCTTTGCCTTTTCAAATATTAAAAGTTTTGCTACCAAGTAACTTTTCTGTTAAAATGTGGTACACAACGGCCTCGGACGATGCCTTCCCGTGGTAAAAACATCAAGGTTTAACCTCATATCGAGAAGTCCTCGGTTGCGTTTACCATCAATTGATACAAAGGCTTCTCAGGCAGAGCCACTATTGAAAAATGAGCTTTTAAAACATGCCCCCTGTGAGGATCAAACTCACGACCGTCAGATTATGAGACTGATGCGCTACCTACTGCGCTAAGGAGGCCTCTTTGCCAATTTAGTTCCAGACTAAAATAGAATTTGCAGTAGATGTGCAGTTTTAGTAAGCAGACATTTTTGGGCTGCCAATCTGCAGGCTTTGGAACAGTTTCTGCAGAAGCAGTTTCTGCAGTGTAGTAGTTATTACGTTTGCCTCTAACACGCGAAAGGTCCCCTGTTCGAGACCGGGCAGAAACAGTTTTTTTTTTTTTTTTTTTTGGGCTGCCAGTCTGCAATTTAAACGCCAGACAACTTGCTTTGCCTTTTCAAATATTAAAAGTTTTGCTACCAAGTAACTTTTCTGTTAAAATGTGGTACACAACGGCCTCGGACGATGCCTTCCCGTGGTAAAAACATCAAGGTTTAACCTCATTTCGAGAAGTCCTCGGTTGCGTTTACCATCAATTGATACAAAGGCTTCTCCAGGGCAGAGCCACTATTGAAAAATGAGCTTTTAAAAACATGCCCCCTGTGAGGATCGAACTCACGACCTTCAGATTATGAGACTGACGCGCTACCTACTGCGCTAAGGAGGCCTCTTTGACAATTTAGTTCCAGGTGACAAAATAGAATTTGCAGTAGATGTGCAGTTTTAGTAAGCAGACATTTTTTGGGCTGCCAATCTGCAGGCTTTCGACAAAGGAAGCAGTTTCTGTAGTGTAGTAGTTATCACGTTCGCCTAACACGCGAAAGGTCCCCGGTTCGAGACCGGGCAGAAACAGTTTTTTTTTTTTTTTTTAAACGCCAGACAACTTGCTTTGCCTTTTCAAATATTAAAAGTTTTGCTACCAAGTAACTTTTCTGTTAAAATGTGGTACACAACGGCCTCGGACGATGCCTTCCTGTGGTAAAAACATCAAGGTTCAACCTCATATCGAGAAGTCCTCGGTTGCGTTTACCATCAATTGATACAAAGGCTTCTCAGGGCAGAGCCACTATTGAAAAATGAGCTTTTAAAAATGCAGATCAAACTGCCCCCTGTGAGGACTCAGTACTCAAACAGACATTTTTGGGCTGCCAATCTGCAGGCTTTGGACTGCAGTGTAGTAGTTATTACGTTTGTCTAGAAAGGTCCCCTGTTAGACCGGGCAGAAACAGTTTTTTTTTTCAATTTAAACGCCAGACAACTTGCTTCCTTTTCAAATATTAAAAGTTTTGCTACCAAGTAACTTTTCTGTTAAAATGTGGTACACAACGGCCTCGGACGATGCCTTCCTGCTCAAGGTTGCGCTAAGGAGGCCTCTTTGCCAATTTAGTTCCAGATGACAAAAGTAGAATTTGCAGTAGATGTGCAGTTTTAGTAAGCAGACATTTTTGGGCTGCCAGTCTGCAGGCTTTGGAACGAAGAAGCAGTTTCTGCAGTGTAGTAGTTATTACGTTTGTCTAACACGCGAAAGGTCCCCTGAAAGGTCCCCTGTTCGAGACCGGGCAGAAACAGTTTTTTTTTTTTTAAACGCCAGACAACTTGCTTTGCCTTTTCAAATATTAAAAGTTTTGCTACCAAGTAACTTTTCTGTTAAAATGTGGTACACAACGGCCTCGGACGATGCCTTCCCGTGGTAAAAACATCAAGGTTTAACCTCATTTCGAGAAGTCCTCGGTTGCGTTTACCATCAATTGATACAAAGGCTTCTCCAGGCAGAGCCACTATTGAAAAATGAGCTTTTAAAAAAACATGCCTGTAAAGATCTGTGAGGATCAAACTCACGACCTTCAGATTATGAGACTGACGCGCGCTACCTACTGCGCTAAGGAGGCCTCTTTGCCAATTTAGTTCCAGATGACAAAATAGAATTTGCAGTAGATGTGCAGTTTTAGTAAGCAGACATTTTTGGGCTGCCAATCTGCAGGCTTTGGACAAAGGAAGCAGTTTCTGTAGTGTAGTAGTTATTACGTTTGTCTAACACGCGAAAGGTCCCCAGTGTTCGAGACCGGGCAAAAACAGTTTTTTTTTTTCAATTTAAATGCCAGACAACTTGCTTTGCCTTTTCAAATATTAAAAGTTTTGCTACCAAGTAACTTTTCTGTTAAAATGTGGTACACAACGGCCTCGGACGATGCCTTCCCGTGGTAAAAACATCAAGGTTCAACCTCATTTCGAGAAGTCCTCGGTTGCGTTTACCATCAATTGATACAAAGGCTTCTCAGGGCAGAGCCACTATTGAAAAATGAGCTTTTAAAAACATGCCCCCTGTGAGGATCAAACTCACGACCTCAGATTATGAGACTGACGCTACCTACTGCGCTAAGGAGGCCTCTTTGCCAATTTAGTTCCAGATGACAAAATAGAATTTGCAGTAGATGTGCAGTTTTAGTAAGCAGACATTTTTTGGGCTGCCAGTCTGCAGGCTTTGGACAAAGGAGTTTCTGCAGTGTAGTAGTTATTACGTTTGTCTAACACGCGAAAGGTCCCCTGTTCGAGACCGGGCAGAAACAGTTTTTTTTTTTTTTCAATTTAAACGCCAGACAACTTGCTTTGCCTTTTCAAATATTAAAAGTTTTGCTACCAAGTAACTTTTCTGTTAAAATGTGGTACACAACGGCCTCGGACGATGCCTTCCTGTGGTAAAAAACATCAAGGTTTAACCTCATATCGAGAAGTCCTCGGTTGCGTTTACCATCAATTGATACAAAGGCTTCTCAGGGCAGAGCCACTATTGAAAAATGAGCTTTTAAAAACATGCCCCCTGTGAGGATCAAACTCACGACCGTCAGATTATGAGACTGACGCGCTAGCTACTGCGCTAAGGAGGCCTCTTTGCCAATTTAGTTCCAGATGACAAAATAGAATTTGCAGTAGATGTGCAGTTTTAGTAAGCAGACATTTTTTGGGCTGCCAATCTGCAGGCTTTGGAACGAAGAAGCAGTTTCTGCAGTGTAGTAGTTATTACGTTTGTCTAACACGCGAAAGGTCCCCTGTTCGAGACCGGGCAGAAACAGTTTTTTTTTTTTTTTTTTAAACGCCAGACAACTTGCTTTGCCTTTTCAAATATTAAAAGTTTTGCTACCAAGTAACTTTTCTGTTAAAATGTGGTACACAACGGCCTCGGACGATGCCTTCCCGTGGTAAAAACATCAAGGTTTAACCTCATTTCGAGAAGTCCTCGGTTGCGTTTACCATCAATTGATACAAAGGCTTCTCCAGGCAGAGCCACTATTGAAAAATGAGCTTTTAAAAACATGCCCCCTGTGAGGATCGAACTCACGACCTTCAGATTATGAGACTGATGCGCTACCTACTGCGCTAAGGAGGCCTCTTTGCCAATTTAGTTCCAGATGACAAAATAGAATTTGCAGTAGATGTGCAGTTTTAGTAAGCAGACATTTTTGGGCTGCCAATCTGCAGGCTTTGGACAAAGAAGCAGTTTCTGTAGTGTAGTAGTTATTACGTTTGTCTAACACGCGAAAGGTCCCCTGTTTCGAGACCGGGCAGAAACAGTTTTTTTTTTTTTTTTAAACGCCAGACAACTTGCTTTGCCTTTTCAAATATTAAAAGTTTTGCTACCAAGTAACTTTTCTGTTAAAATGTGGTACACAACGGCCTCGGACGATGCCTTCCTGTGGTAAAAACATCAAGGTTCAACCTCATATCGAGAAGTCCTCGGTTGCGTTTACCATCAATTGATACAAAGGCTTCTCAGGGCAGAGCCACTATTGAAAAATGAGCTTTTAAAAACATGCCCCCTGTGAGGATCAACTCACGACCTCAGATTATGAGACTGATGCGCTACTACTGCGCTAAGGAGGCCTCTTTGCCAATTTAGTTCCAGATGACAAAATAGAATTTGACAGTAGATGTGCAGTTTTAGTAAGCAGACATTTTTGGGCTGCCAATCTGCAGGCTTTGGAACAAAAGAAGCAGTTTCTGTAGTGTAGTAGTTATTACGTTTGTCTAACACGCGAAAGGTCCCCTGTTCGAGACCGGGCAGAAACAGAGACCGGGCAGAAACAGTTTTTTTTTTTTTAAAAACGCCAGACAACTTGCTTTGCCTTTTCAAATATTAAAAGTTTTGCTACTATAATCTGGAAAACACATAAAGCTGTCATAAAACTCGAAGGTCAGTGCTCTCAAGAAAAGGAGGCCAGACATATGGAAGATAAACACAGGAAGAAGATGAGGCATACAGTCCATCACAGATAAGGTGTTCGGGACATCTGTTTCTAGCCTTGGCCCTTCTAGCAACCTGAAGATCACATTCCTTTCTCTGTGCATTTTGGCCTAAACAACATCTATGACTTACATGTAACTAAACTTCTTGAGTGATCATAAAATTCCATAACAATCTGCCCTTTTTAACATTATAAACCCTTAATCATGTTAAACAATTTAAACAATGTTTTTAGTGTCAACTCTAAATTTTAGTTCACTCAAGCTTAATAATTACTCAGAAACAATCAGGAATATATGAATTCACCACTGTCATATGTCTGAAACTATAACCTGTTAAGAAAAATACCTTTACCAAACATAAAAACAGAATTCACAATCAATTGAAATAATCTACTGTCAGTACAGTAATTATCAATATTCAACACAGTCATTTTCTCATTATGGATTTCTAGTCCTCTACCTAGTGTGTGAGGAGCTAATCATTTAACATATTAGAAAAAACATCAGTAAATATGTTATGGCACTCAAATATGGCACTCTTTGATCATCAGAAATGAGGATTTCAATCATGGTGTGAGTGTATAAATGTTCCTTTTCCATCTTCTCAGCCCTGGTAGGCTCTTTCAACATATTTAATGTGTGTGTCCAAACAGTGGCCATTCTTTAATTGTCCAGAGATGCACAATGTGTGTGTTCAATGTTCTTGTTTTCCCTTTGTACAACTCAAACCGACGTTCAAGATGATTTCTGAAATCTGCAACATGTTCACCTTTTTCACTTTACAGTCCATAACTTCCTTGAATTGTGTACAAAAACATTCACACAATTTAGTAATTGCCTTCTTTGTGGTCTGGATGACACGTTTTTCCTTGGTTCTGGTTTGACCTTTTCTGTGGTCTGTACCTAAAGTCATTCAGTTAGCTTCTGATATATGTGTGTGTGTGTGCGTGGGGGTAGGGCTCAGATGCTCTGCTCCAGTTGTTCATGGTCCAACCTGTTGATTTTTAATGCGACACAACCTGCAAACAGTTATTGCATTCCATGTGTCAGTTAACATCTTTAACAATAGAATTACATTGTGTTTACTGTTCAGCTTTAATTTTGCTAAGCCAAATACATTTGTAATAGCTATTCTCCTCAACCATTCAAATGTTTAGGCATTCTATCAAATTAAACACTTCAATTGCCTGAAATCCAAATTTAACAAATGCTATATTCTTGAATATGTTTATTACGTCACTTCCCCTCTTGTTTTCTCCTTCAGTTCATCAACAATGGAGAAAACAACCAACTTCTTAAATTTATCCAAGAGTAAACACGTGACTAAAACATGGTTTATGACCAGCCATCTGTTAGCTCTGGGCTGAGCCACCTCACAATCACACAGTAAACCAGCCCCCCCCTCTAAATAAGCAACTTGGGTGTGCCCCCTCTTTTTGAGCCAGAGAAGCACCCCAGGGAGGGTCAAAGAAAAGTTCATAAACACCCCTAAATTAACAGAAACCATCTCTAGACAGGGAGATAAAGAGTTACAATTAACTTTCTGCCCTTTTAACAATCAAGAACTCAGAATGTCTTAAACATGTTACTCAAAATAGCCAAAAGCCAATAATAAAAAATAAAAGGGTGTATCAGAAATACACTTAACCCACATGGTCATTCATTATATCATCATGCCAACATTTAGAGGAACAAATCCAAAATGTCCTTATTCAACTTCACAAAACGAATAACCATAGCATATAACTAGAATATAATCTCCCTATAACCTAGAATGTAGTCCTCCTACAAAACAAACAAAATGGAACATATAGTGTTCCAGGTAAAAACATGCAGAGTTATAGTCGGAAAAACTCTTAATTATGTCATTAGCGCAAATGTTACATAAGGCCTAAGAAAAACAATACAATAAAATAGGAATTCCTCGTGCACAGGAAAACCTGAAAATAAATGTGTCGACAAAACTTTGGCCTGGGACCCCTGTCCCAACTTCATGAAGCTTTACCCCAGATCATGCATGAATCACACCTAGGGTATTTTAATATGATATTTGCGTACGCGTACGAACCTGGACAGCGAAAAATAAGACCTCTCAGTAACAATGAGCTGATCTCTACTGAGATATTAACCTGACAGAGCTATGCAGTCTTCTAGTTGTAACCGGTAGTGTATTTTCTACTAACACAATATCAGATGACATAGGTTACAATGAGATATCAACCATCATGGGTCCAGTCACGCTCTCCGAGCTGCACGGACCTGACAAACACCGTTTATCAGGTGATACGCAATGTACGCTACCCTACGCTAAACACCTAACTTTAAGCGTAAGCATAGTGCCAAGACACCCGTACTCCTCCCCAGTGGAACGAAAATCTCACACAACCATACGTCTGCATAGCAACTCAACGCTCAGCACTAAACATCCGAACAAAATTACTTTTACTTTAGATACTATCATAATTGATTAATTACAGGATAACATAATGGTTTGATCTCACCGGGTTGATGTTTTCCTGCCCGTCCCCTCTGACCGTCAGTACCCCTGTCTGTGCCAGCCATGGGTCCTGTGACGCTCCAGTTGGTAGTCTGCTGTTGTGCCATCACCATCTCCCATACTGTCTCTGTTCCCATGGTAATAGTCTCTAGTGTCCGGCACAGTGCAGTTACGAGCCCAGTGTCCAAAAGCACCACAGTTGAAACAGCTATCAGAGTTGGGACTTTGGCTGGAGTTATCACCCTGGTGTCTGGATTGTCCTCTCCTGCTTGCTCTCCGTCTCCGTCTCCTTCTTCCTCCTGAGTAGCCTCTGCTGTAGAAGTCCAGTTGGGCCATCTGAATTTGCATTTCACGCTCCCGTCTTTCTTCGGTCTGTTTGTACAGCTGGTCCTCGTAGACTCTTTCAGCGTGCTTAAAATACGGCCAGACGGTTTCCATGCGACCCTCATCCAGGTCTACACAGTGGTTTTGAATGTGCTTCCTAATGTCTGGTAGAAGGCCTGCAACTAACCTCATTTTACACTGTTGCTCCCAGGCCGACTCTTCACCACCGTCCGGTCTCTTTCCCATTCCGCTGTGTAACTCAAAAGCTTTTTCAAGTCTATTCCTGTAGTCCGAAACTTTCTCGCCCAGTGTCTGTTTACAATCAGAGATCTTTTCCCAGTTCATTCGCTTAGGAAAAGCAGCGATAAGTCCAGTGCTCAGCTGTTCCACAGCACTCCGGTAGTCAGAGTGCGCATCCCAATTGAACATAATGTTTCTCTCGCTAGGCCAGTTTCTTTTCACTCTCCCCCATTTTAGTTGCAAGGCCTTCATCAAAGTCGTTTCAATCTCCACAGAGGTCGGTCTATATTGATTCACGATCTGTAGAAACACACGGACAAATTCCTCTCCACCTTCTGTTTCTGGGTCAGGTAGTGTAGAAGCCACGTCTCTCAGGTCGGCGGGTGACCACGGTCTGTAGACTAGTATAGTCGCTGGGTTATCCGTGTCTCGTCCACCAGCTGGGTTGGCTACCTCCACCATAGGGAATTGCCCGGCATCAAAGCTGTGTTGTTCTCTGGGACAGGTCGCAGTGTTACTCTGGGTTCTCTCAGCGGCGGGTGAAACTCTGTCGAGGCCTAATAAGGATGGGTAGAGTCCTTCTCCGGGAATGTTCTCCATCAGGTCCGATGCTGTTGGCATAGTTGGTACCGCTGGGGCTGTTGTTGTAACGCCGCGATAGGGTGGGGGTCGGTCAGCAGGAGGACAGGCAGCATCAACCTGGTTGGGACAAGCTAGAACACGATTAACAAGCCCCGTTCTACACCGCTTAGCCCGTATATCAGTCTGCTCTCTCCACTTATTATATGCCTTCCAATCAACTTTCTGCTGATTACCCCGTGAAACCTTAATTTTACCCTGTTCAAAATCCTTCAACTTGTCTTTCAACAACAGTATCTGTCTCTGACTAAAACTGCCATGAGCAGGAAATCCCAATAACTCCCACAGGTCTAATTGTTCGCATGTCCAGTCTCCGTATTTATCTGTCATTATTTTAGCCGGTCCAACAACGTAACGTTCAGTATCCACCGAAGATTTACCAATACACAAATAATTACCCATGTTGTTACCGATATTTAAGACGCAAATCTAATTTTAGCATATAATGAAGTGTCCTATATGTGTTAATGAACTCGTCAGTTCTTTAAGTGAGATAAGCTGAATAACCAAGCTCTTTCACCGCACCCAGATAACCTATATTGAACAGCATTTTATTCCTACTGTATACAGGTATTAACACTTCATACAGGTAAATATTGCTCCAGTCTGGCGCTCTCCACTCACCCA